ATGCCAGCGAGGTAGCCTTGCACGAATGCCCAACACATCCCGCCCCAACAGCATCTCCTCGCACGCGGCCGCCGCAGCATCTTCTCTCGAACGGTTGCGCTCGCCCGTGCTCCCGCGCAGACCTCAGCACGCGCACGTCGCCGCAGATGAAACGCGGCGGGCGTCCAGCAACCGGTGCTCCTGCGGCCGACCGCCACGACCAGGATGTCCGACGACATGGACGAGGAATCCCCCTCCTCGAACCCCTCCACCCGCGACTCCGACCAGGTGTGCTTCACGGACGACTACGAGAACTCGGAAATGGAGAGCAGCCGCAAGAAGATGCAGAGACAGACCGACGAAGACATCCAGAGCCTCGAGGACGCAATCATGCCGAACATGACGGTGACCTACACGGACGCAAAAGGCGGTGAACTCCACACCTCGAGACCCTACCCAAGCTGCCGTTTTCGCGAGCAGGCCCCCTTGCAACCAGGAAACCATCGGGACCGGTTTCTATCCCTCCCGGAGCTGCGCACAATACGGCAGCACACCAACAAGCCCCCGCCCGCAGAGGGGCTACGGCATCGCAGCCCCCGAGAAGTCCTGCTCCACGACCTGGACAGCAGCAGCACCGGGCCGATCGACCTGCATGCCACCAAGCTGATGTTAGACGGGAACGTGATCACAGACGACTGGAGCTGGAGCAACACCCTCGAGCACAGCATCACCGCCCAGATGGCACACGTGGAAGTTGTCGTCCACTGGAAGGAAGCCAGCCGCCGGAAACCGAAAAGGCCGCCGAGCCCCAAGCCCGGGCCACGTGCATCGACTCGTAGACGTAAGTGAAAGGCAGTAGGTGCCGTGTGCACAGGCCGGACGAGCACCAGCGTCTCGAGCACCAGCTACACTAGGGGACCGAGCGGCAAGCGCACGATGTACAGCACCCCCGGAGACCAGAAGAGCCGCAGCAAGGCAAAAAAAGGAGAGAGCCGGCAGCAGGCGCACGGTCATGCCCAGCATAGGCGCCAAAGCACTCGCCGAACCGCCCAAGCCAGACTTGGAGCCGCTGCACGACCAGACACACGCAGGCCTGCTCGCAGTCATATGTCAGCCGGCCCAGGCAAGAGCGCGACAGGACACCTCGGGCCGCGGCCACCATTCGCCAGCAGCAAGTCAGCAAGGCGGCAACAGGCTCACAGCTCAACGACAAGCAACCCGGCACGACGGCAAAGCCACAGGAACGATGTACTCACACGCATAGCAGCACCTGTAGCGAGCATGTCCCACAAACATACGGAGGGCCAGTCACCCTAAAGCACGCGGGTGCCTACAACCGCAGAGCACCCCGGACACGCCATGGCCGATGCTGCGAGGACGAAGACTCCCAGACCGGGGCCGTTTGCACGACGAACACTGAAGAAAGCATCGTCGCCAGGGCCTTTGCGCATCACCATGCTGAGTGGAGAACTCCTGGGCGAAACAGACGCACGGCGGCATCGGACAGCAAGGAAGCTGGCGACGTACGTAGGGGAGTACTGCTGCGCCACGCCGGCACCGAAGCAGACCATAAGGCTACTGCACGCCGGACGAAGGCTGCAGGGCGGGAGACTACGCATCGATGCCACATCAACCGTGCAGGCCGTCTTCCTGACCTACGTCCAGATACACGACGGCTCGAGGGAGTCGGAAGACTTCCGCTTGGCCCTGTGGAACAGAAACACCTCGAAGCTGAAAAAAATACTTTGGCGGCCCCTGGACCCCAACACCGTCTTCCAGCAATTCTACCCGACGCCGACTTCGGGACTGGAACTTCTCATGCTGAACCAGAACAGACCCTGGTCGCTGCCTGCACTACGAACGTTGCTGGAAGCCAAAGCAAAACTGGACCGACCCGAAAACAAAGACGTGCTGGCCCTCGCCGTGAGATATGCGCCAAGCAGCCACGTGGAGACGCTCCTAAAGCACCGGGACGACCTGGGCGGCTCCGCGGATCCCTGGCGGCCCCTGGACATAGCATGCCACGACCACCCCGAAAACCTGCTACAGGGCCGTCCACATCCAGGCAAGATCACGATGCTGATGGCAGCCCGAGCCGATCCCACGCGAATGCTCGAGGACCCGACCAGCTGGGCCCAAAACCCAAGCCACCCAGACTGGTCCTACGGAGCCAACCCTCGAAGCCTAGCAACCCTCGTGGCCCTAGCCTGCGCAGCAGCAGCTCACTCAGACCCGGAGGGCATGCAGCAAGTCGCGCGAGCGGCAGCGAACAAAAGTGCCATCCCCTTAGAATATGTAAGCGACAGCACCCCCGGAATGCAGGTCCTCACCGCAAGCCTGTGCAGTGCAGCTTGCACAGGCAACGCCCGCAACGTGTGCTGGCTACTAGAAATGCGATGCCCAGCAAATGCACGCGTCGGCCGACACCTCCTGGAAGGTGAGTCCTGTCTCGTAACCAATGCCGAGAGTCAGTGCACAGCCTTAAACCTCGCAGTCAGAAGCGGCTCCGTCGCCGCCACCCAAGCACTCCTCCACGCCAAGGCCGATCCGACTCTCACCTTCGACGAGCTTGCCGCCCTGGACCGAGCTGCGCTGCACAAGGCACCAGCAACGATAATAGAATGCATACTAGCGGCCAGAGGCGAAGCGACCACGCCCACAGCGCACACGACATCTCCGCTGACCGGGGCGCATACCCGCGCGGCGAACCCGACAAGGCTCCTCAGCCCGGGGCCGCCTGCGGACTCGCAACCAAGCAATGCGCAAGACGTCAGACGGGCCACTGCTCACGTTGGTCCTTTCCCATGACATGTGAGACATGCTGACAGCACAGAGCTGGGAAAGAGTCGTTCGTTTCACACAACCTCTGCCGTGCGCCGGCTGCGAAAGAGCATCGCGACTGGCAGCTAAAGCAGCAGAAGGAAAAAGAGGATTCGGCTGCAAGCAGCAAGCCAACGACGCTGACATCGTGCGTGCAGCAAGAGCACACCAACCTTAACCCGGCACCGCAGCCCAATTCGTGATCGAGCCTCCAAAGCAGAAATCCGCTTCCTGAAGAACCATCTAGGCCGAAGCTGCTTCCGACAGTAAGAGAGAAAGAGCAGTCACGGTTCGCCCCCCCCCCCCCGCCCCTGCAGGTGAAGCCATCATGCAGCCCGAAAGCAGCCGACGGTGGGCCGACATGACAGACGACGACGATCAGGCGGGATCGCATGCGACACGCGCAGACGGCCCGGCCCCGCCCGAAACCTCAACGGCCTCAGCGCACCGAACCACGAGGCGACCGGCTGGGACTTCGAAGCGTTCAAGAAGGACTACCTGGCGAGGAGATGCAGCCTGACACTTCTGACGCCCGTGCATGCCCCAGAGCCTCCGAAGAGAGAACCCGTGTATACACGATTGTATGTCGCGCAACTGCGCACCGAACCCACCGGCCGAGGGCGGAACAATCAAGATCGACGAGGCGCACTGACACCTCGTGCCGTCGCCCTCAGAAATCCCAGGAAAGCACACGGGCATGCACGCACGAGGCCGGGAAAACCTCCCCGACAACCGCACCTCGACGGGACACGACCCCGCCCTCCGGCGCGAAGCCAAGAACACCCCGACGGAAGAAGGCATCACGGCCGGAATGCAAGTAAGGACTTGTGCCACGAGAAAAGCCATAGAAAAAAGAAAGCAAGCCGTACGCGGCATCGTGACCTGCAGGCCCCAAAAAAGCCACTGCCGCGCCAGCCACGATGGACGGCCGACGACGAGAGAGCCCTGGATCGTGCTTTCCAGCGAGCAGAGGCACCGGAGAGAAGCTACACCCCCAAGGCGCACAACACCTCCCCCGGCAAGCGTCTAGTCCCACTGTGTGCACAGGCCGACAGAGCCGCCGAGGCAACACCGCCAAGAAACGAAGCCGTGGAAGCGGCAAAGCTCGCAAGGAATGCCGCTGAACCATCTCACGAAGGACCGGCCGCGCGACGAGGGGGGGCTGAGGCGGGCTCCGACCACGACACGGAGCCCGGACCCAGCGTCGAGGCCGGCGTTTTCCCTCGAGCATCCACTCTCAAGCGCGCTCTTTAGGCAAGCAGACAATGCACCCGAGAGGAGCACTTTCGGGGCACGCTGGCCATCAAGAAGATGTCAGGCGACGGCAACTGCCTCTTCCACGCGCTCGGAGAGAACAACGGCGAGAGCGGGGCATGCCTCCGAGCCCTAATCATCCAGTACCTCAGAGAGAACGCAGAAGCCGAAGAAGACGAAGAGCAAGTGCAGGCCTGGCTACAGGAAAGCCAATACCTCCAAAGCGATCCGGGTCACTGGGGCGGCGACACGGCCATCATCGCTTTCACCCGCATGAGGCAGCAGCGAGTCCTTTTGCACTGGCGGACGCCAAACGGCGACATCCTCACGAGCGAGCGCACGCACTCGGACGTGGCCGAAGCAGCCCAACGCGGGCCGCACGCAGCACCGAACGCCACGGAAGTGATCCATCTCTGGTACAACGGCAGGGACCACTACGACCTGCTGGTGCCCATAGACCGAGCACCGCCACCAGCACCACCACTGCCACCACCACCACCACCACCACCACCACCACCCCACCCGATTCCGCGCCCAGCCAAGCGCAGAAGAACCGCCGCCGGCGGGGAGGAGGCCCATCAACAGGCCCAGGCGCGCAAGACGCCGTCGAAGCCAACGACACGACCGCCCGAGCCAGAGGCACAGGACGAGCCCAACCTCCTGGAAGAGCTCACCAGCATGCCCGTGGCGCCGCACAGCAGCCACCCCCGGCGGAAACTGGAAGAGGCTCTCCGGCACCTCGCACACACCCAGCTGCGAGCCCAGCCGCTGATACCGCCCGGAGCCAGGCCCGAAGAACTCGACCGTGGGGAACCCTGGCCAGGACAGTTCTGCGCCTTCCAGAGCTGCAACTGGTCATTGCTCACGGGCACCGAGCAAGAGCTTCGAGAGCACGTCCAGCAAGAGCACGCAACAGCACTGCAGAGCGTCGCACAGCACCTACCCAAGCCAATCCCGGCCGATGCAATGGCCAGCGTCTACAACGAAGCCATAGCCCTGCGGTGCAGAGAGGCCGCACCCGTGGCAGGAAGCTCGCGGGACAGAAGCGCGCTGCGGAGCTTCGCCGAAGCCACCAGCAAAGACAGGGTGGAAGCGATCATTTGCTTCTGCTGCGCATGCATCCACACCCGCGTGGCCGACGCCGAGGCCGCGGGCCCCATCCGCTGGCGCAGGCTCATCCAGGGTCCCCCCAGCAACGACAGGACCCACGCCGAGACAACCGAACGTCTGCACGACATCCTGAGCATCGACAAGTACCTGGGGCTCTACGGCGACCTCGCCGGGGACGTCAAGCTCACCGACGTGGCCGAGCTGAACGAGCGGACCGTGACCATCCCCGGGCTCGGCGACATACTCTGCTGCCCAGAAGACCACCGCTGCCACGCCAATCCCCAGCACCCAAGCCAGCACACGCTCTGCGAGCACTGCGAGGTGCCCCTCTGCCGCGACTGCGCGCAACACTTGGACAACGGCCAGCTGCCGCCCCCGAGCTTGTGCAATGACATGTGGACAGGCTACTCCCCGGCGCGCCTGCACGCAGAGAAGGTCACAGTGATGGAAATGATCTGCGCAAGCCCCTGCGTGACGACCCTGGTGTGCATGTCCATGGAAGCGCGGCACCGCAGCGAAGGGACCACCTTAGACGAAAAAGACCAGAACGCCCGTCACCGCCTGGGCGCGCGCGGCAACGCCCTCACCTTTCCCCTCCCATGGGAAGACCTCCTGCGCAACCTAGAGGCACACCACGCAGAAGTTGCGGAGCAGGACCAAGCGGGAGCGGCAGCACCCCCCAGCCTGCCGCTCACAGGCAAGGCGCTCGCCGAGGTCGCGAGGGTGCTCCTCAAGACGAACAAAACGGGCAAGACGAGCGAGACCGGGATCAAGACGCTGCTCCACCAGGCCACCGTGCGGAGAGACGTAGTCGTGAACCTCATCCACGACATGCAGCGCCTCGGGCATCCCGCGTTCCAGCACCTGCGCATGGCGGATGTGCGGGAGGCAGCATCACAGCTGCCAGAGGGCGGCGTGCCGCCGGAAGTACTCAAGCTCATTTCCGGCCTGAGCGAGGACGACGAGACCGCCCACAAGCTGCAGCCGCAGAAGGCCGCCGCCCCGACGGACGCGCCGGAGCAGGACATGCAGCGGGCCGGCGCCATCTTCGCCGACCAGCGAGCCCGGGCCGTCGTGCGGGAAGGCTGCAGCACGGACCGCGAGGACCAGAACGCCGTGGCCACGGCCGCACTCAACGACCTCCAAACCCAGCTCCGCAGCAACGAAGAGAACGAGAAGGTCCTCGAGACCATGGAGGTGCGCACCGGAAACATCTTGGTGGACCAGTTCCAGCCGCTCTACTTCGCCACGGCCTTCAGCTTCTGCTTCGCCCACGGCACCGCCTGTCCGGACGTCCAGAACAGCAACAGCACAGAAAGCAACCGGGCGTCAGCGCAAGGACGCCGCCGAGACAAGAACCCGGAGGCCCCCCAAGTGCAGATCTTCGAATGGGCAACAGCCATGCAGCGCCGGGCAGAAACCCAATTCAGGCGAGACGGGAGCTTCGGCTTCACCCTCTGGAACTACCTCTTCAGGACCATGGTGAACACCCAGGGGAACGCCTTCATCTACAGCGTCGCCGACGAGAACCACGAGAGCAGGGCCCTGACCACCAAGGCGATCCTGGAGGGGCAAAAGCAGATCCAGCAAAAGCTCCTCAGAGGCCAGTACCTCGACATCAACAACCAGCTGAAGCCCATCAACGGAGACCTCACCAAACTACGCTTCGTCCCAGGGCTCTCAAAAGCAGCCCTGAAGGCTCGAAGCTCGTGCAAAGAAAATCCTATAAAGCACGGACCCACCCGCAGTGCAAGCCTCCCATCCTTCGCCGCCTGAAAACCCGTAGAGAGCAAGCAAGTGCCTTGACGCGCGCCGTAGAAGGCCACACTCGGAGCAGGCAAGCTACCAAGAGCCAGGTTACAACGAGTGCCCAAAGCAAGCCCGACAGCGGTGCCAGGTCCGGGACAACACGGAGGCGCGCAGTCGAAACATCCCGGGCACGCACGAGGTGCGCAAGACCATGCGCCTCCAAACCCACGCCAATCGGATATGCCACGGCACACCGATCTTCGTGACCTTCTCCCCCTCAGAGCGCGACAGCACGGTGATGCTGCGCCTGGCCCGCGCCCGGCAGTCCGACCCCAGCCTCGGCCCAGAGGGCACCACCACCCGAAGAGCCCAGGGGCGCAGCAAGCCGGAGCTGGACGTGGAGTTCTACAGCCTCAACCCAGAAGCCCTCGCCGCCGAGCTGCCGCCCTACGACGCTCGCCGGGCCATGCTCACCAAGGATCCCGTGGCCTGCGCCGACGGCTTCCGCACCCTCGTGCAGCTCGCGCTGCGCCACCTCTTCGGCTTCCGCTACTGCCCCCAGTGCCCGAATTGCAGCAAGTCCAAAACACCCTGCGCGGACGCCTTCGGCAGCAACGCCATGGCCTGCGGCGGGATCTTCGGCCGCATCGACGCCGCGTTCGGGTCCATCGAAAGCCAGAAGTCCGGGGTGCTGCACGTCCACTTCCAGGCACGCCGGAACAGTCATGAGAGACAACCAAAGAAAGGCCATGCGACACCGAAGCCACCGCCGCCCCCTGTGCAGCTCTTCCTCCAGTGCTTCCACCAGTTCAAGTCCCTCGCGGAGCTGCAGGCCCTGGGTCCTGCACGCAAGCAAGAACTCTTCCAGAAGTACTGCACCTACACGGCCCACGTCAGCCGCACCATCTACCGGGACCCGCAAACCTGGGAGAAGAAGCGCCCGGAAACGGAGGAGCAGTGGCCCGCCTACCGCGACTCCTACCTGGCCCTGAGCCGCCCGCACTCCCAGAGCACAGACGCGTCCACGGACGCCACGACCTGGCGACGGCTCTATCTCGACGAGGACGTGGAGGCCCTGCAGCAGCTGAAGCAACATCACGTGCACCTTCCCAAGACGACGAACGGTCCGCGGCTGCCGCTCGACCACTGCCGCGACAAGAAAGACCCGACGAAGTGCAAGGCAGGCTTCCCTCGCGAGAAGCAGCTGGTGGACAGCACGACACTCGTGTGCGAGGGACTCGCAGAAAAGATGGGCATGCCGGTCAAGGGCAAGCGCAGCGCCCTCGGCAGTCTCTGGGGGCCTTGCAACGACCCGAACCTCAACGGCAACCACCCCGCGCTGCTGGCCGCCCTGCGCTGCAACGGCGACGTCCAGCTGCCCTACCGCTTCCCGATCACCGATGCCCTACACGACGCCGCCGGCCGCTGCACGCGAGACTGCCCGACGAAGAGCAGCCTGCGGGAGATGACCTACCAGGCCCAGCTGAACCAAGCAGCGCAGGCAGGCTATGCATGCGACTACCAGAACAAGCGGAACCCCATCGCGGTCAACGAGGTCCAAGAGTTGAACAAGAGCCACAAGGACCTGGAGACAGAACTGCGGGACAACTCCTCCGCCGGCTACGTGGGAGCCAGGGCCTCGAAGCGCCTCATGACGGACGCCTTCGCCCGGGGCGTGGTCCGAGGCTCCGTGGAGTGCACCAACCTCATCGACACCGCCGGCCACAGCGACCCCACCGCCGCGGAAGCCATCAAGACCGCAGCACTCGCGGATATGTCCCTCCAGATGGGCCGGCCGCTGCCGACAGAGCGCGCAAAGATCCAGAGCGACCCCAGTGGGTGGGTCGACAGACCCGGCAACAAAAGCAAAAGGAAGCTCGTCGCCGAGCCACAGCTGTGGACCGTCTACGGCAACCGCGGCACGGACCCCAGAGTGCAACCCCTCTCGGCCTTCGAGTTCGCTCGGTTCTACCACATCCAGCCAGCCAGATATCCATGGTCCCTAAAGCAGCAGGAGGAGGCCGCCGCCGCTGACCGCGAAGCAGCCGCCGACAACGACATCGCCTACCACGCCCTGCTGACGGACAAAGGCAAGGAGAAGCTCGGCAAGAAACTCGGACGTCGACTTCTGCAGGGCGGCACGGACTACCTGATCCGAGAACAAGGCGGGGAAAACTGGATGCCGCTGGGCAACGGCAACCGCGTGCGGAAGCATCGCCACGACTGGGTCATCGTCCCACGCACGCGGCCGCACGTGCCGGTCCTCTACGGTGCGCTCGGCAGCCGCAGCGAGGAGGAGCACATCATGAAGATCCTGCTGCTCTTCTGTCCCTGGACCAGCAACCCACACCAGGCCACCGAAGCCGTCCCGTACGTCGGCCACCTCCGCACGACGGACATGAGCAGCTGGCGCCAGGCGCTGCAATGCGCGTGGAAGCACGCCGGGGGCTTCCCCACCGAGGAGCTGAAGCGCTACGTCCTGAACTACGCCTTCGTGTTCAGCCTGCCCCGAGACCTACAGCCCGACATGGAACTGGCAGCCAACAGCGCCAACGAAGATCTCCAGGACCAAATCTACAACTTCGACGCAGACGAGCTGCAGGAAGCCAGCAAGACACACGTGCGGGGCGCAGGCAAGCAAGGGGCTGCGGGCGCCGAAGAGGGGGCACCGCCCAACCAAGCAGAGGAGCCGCCCGCCACAAGCACCCAGCACGACCTCACCGTGCAAATGCTGAACCTGTCCCACAACGTCTGGCTGGGCGAAGCCTCCACGGCATCCGACATGCCGCGCGAAATGGCCGAGCAACTCCTGGAAGACGCCAAAGCAAGCACGGGGGTCGACGACGCCACACGCATGCTGGCAGATGCGGAAGCCTCGCGCAACAAGCGAGAGGCAGAAACGCCGGCAGACGCGCCCGGCCTAGCCGGAAGCCGCCGGGCCACCACGAAGCGCACCGCCAAGATCAGCAACGTCCAGCTCTGGGCGTGGCTCGAGAGCAACGAAGTGCGAAGCACGATGAACGCGGAGCAGCACAAATTCCTCAAACTCGTCGTAGAGCGCGTGCTGGTGGAGTACAACCTAGTGCCACCAGAGAACACACTCAGACGCAGTGAGGAACCGCTGGTCTGGCTGCTACACGGCCGTCCAGGCACCGGCAAGACCCACGTGCCGAAGTACGTGCGCAAGCTCTTCGAGGAGCTCCTCGGCTACGAGCAGGGCATCGACTACCAGTTCGCCGCCTTCCAGGCCACCAACGCCGCAGACATCGACGGCGAGACACTCCACACGGCCTGCGGCCTCAGCAAAGACAGAGACTGCCTGGAGACGACCTGCAGCCCGCAGACAGCGCGGCGCATGGCTTACTGGCGCTGGCTCATCGCATACGAGGTAGGCATGATCAGCGCCCGACTGCTAGCCCAGGTGGAGACCCGCACACGGAGCACCGTGCCGAGCGCCAACCAATGGAAGTGCGACGCCGGCGGCAACGTCAGACCCTTCGCCGGCATCAACGTGATCTTCAGCGGCGACTTCCGGAAACTGCCTCCGCCCGAAGGAGGCTTCCTCGCCGACCTCCCCCTGAAGCTACAGGCGCCCGGCAAGACCGCGACGGGAGGCCCAGAGCGCGACCCCCTGGTGGACCACGGTCCGGCCCTCTTCTGGGAGGGCGCAGTGCAAGGAGTGACGGAGCTGCACCAGAGGATCAGATGCAAAGACGACTGGTGGAACCAGGCGCCCGAGGGAGCAATTGAGCGCAGCGACCGCGCAAGCAGATTAAAACACAAAAGCATCTAAGAGAACATCGCACACGCCCGATGCCCCCCCCCCCCCTTCCCTCCGGCCAACAACACGCTCTCGGCATGCAGCACAACAAAAAAAACAACGAAAAGCACTGGTACAGCCTCCTTCCACCGACCCGCTCCGCAGGTCGTGGACGAGCTGCGCGACGGGATGCTGTCCGAGGACAACCACAGCTACCTCCACGGCAGGCCAGTCGAAGGTTGCACCCTCACGCGCGAAGAGCGACGCTCCAGAAAGCGAGTGGTGGATGGGCCCGAAGACGCACGACTCAGAGATCCCAAATTCGTGCACGGGCCTGTGGTCGTGCCGAACAACGACGCCAAGTACCAGATCAACAAGGACCGCGCCAAGGCCTACGCCCGGGATGCGGGCAGCCGGCTAGTCTGGTCCGTGGCCAAAGACAAGGCCGTTGCGGAAGCGCTCCAAGCCCAGGCGTGCGACAAAGAAGCGAAGGTCCGCTGGCTGCAGTACCACGACATGCACACGGAAGGGCTCTGCGGAATGCTTCCCCTGGCCATCGGCATGCCCGCCGCGCTGACGCACCACGTGGACCGCTCCAAGAAGAAGCTGCTGAAGGGCCGCACAGGGCACGTCCACTCCTGGGTCTGGCACGAGAACGACCAACAGCCGAGCATCGTGCGCCCCGGCGGCAGTCGATAGCTGCGAGAGCACACCCCAACAACAACAACAAAAACAAAAAAACAGGACGCGGCCGTGTGCCGCGGTCGTCTACGGCCCGTGAATTCGAGTCCCCGGCCAACGACAACAGCCCGGGGGAAAGGGGAAATCAGGGGCCCGCTCCTGCACCCGCCTCCGCTTACGTAGCCGGCATCACAAGCGAGGTTCGTCAAGATCGGCAAAGCCGACTGGACCCTCAACGGCACGAAGGTGCGCGGTCTCTACCCCATCCGGCCGATTTCCCGCACCTGGAAACTGGACAAAGGCCGCAAGAAGCCCGTGCTGAAAGTCAAGCGCACGCAGATCCCGCTGACCCCGGCCTTTTCAATGACGGCCCACGTCAGTCAAGGCAAGACGCTGCCGCTCGGCCGCACACAGAAAGAATCCAAACCACACACACACACACACACACAGTAGGCGACAGTCGTGACGCCCGCCGCACAGGACGGCCGTGATGCTGGACCTGAACGTGGACTCCAAAATTCACGCCGCCTACGGCACGCTGGTGGCGAGCCGCGTGCGCGACAGATCCGACGTGCTGATCCTGCGG